TAAGTATCTGTCTATATATATATGTGTGTGTGTGTTATACCTGTTACATTTGTAAGTTATTTCTGTGTGTTTGCTCATGTCCTTGAACATGCCCACATACCCTTGCAGATACGAGGCCCCCTTTGGAGTGTATCATGAGAAGGTGCAGACGTCTAAGGTGTTTCTCCGTGATCTGACAATGGTCAATGCGTTTGCATTGCTGCTCTTTGGCGGAGGTATGATGTACGCGCAGAGCGCAATATCACCATAGTCGAAGGCACTACCTACATACATATACATGTAGCTCTATTTATACGTGTGTATGTATCCGCATATGTAGGATTGTATATATTGACATATGTATATGCGAGTATATATAGTACCACATGCGGTAGTTGCGTCGGATTGTATAAGCGCATATATACGCTTTCTCCAGTGGCCATGCTATATACTTGTCCAGTGCACAGTGGTAGATTTCATCACTGACGCTGCGTTCGCGTATCGTATTGTGGTGCATCCTGATATCTCGGTAATCCTTTCTGATAGGCCTGTGGATACGCTTTGCCATGGTAACGCACGCTCCCCATTTCGCAATGCTAAACATTTATTGGTGTGTGTATATAGGTATCAATGAAATCTCACCCCTTGTGTCCTGTGCGGACGCTGTAGTAGTAGTACAAAACCGTAACCCTCGAGCAATTGTTTACAATCGGATTCGTCTCGATATATCCTCATATACCGTACCCTTTGCGTCAGATCATAGGACACTCGCTATCTATATCACATGCACAGACCATAGAAAACATTGAACCCTAGAACCCTAAAGCTATCTGCATATACCGTACCCTTTGCGTCGGATCATAAGACATTATCTATCTATACCATATGCACATACCATAGTAAACCTTAAATCCTAAACCTATATGCGTGTATCGTACTATTTGCTTCATACCATAAGACAATCGCTACCTATATCATATGCACATATCATAGGAAACCTTAAACCCTAAAACCATAAACTTATCTGCATATATAGCACCCTTTGGGTCATACCAATGGACACTCGCTATCTATATCGTATGCACTTCCCATAGAAACCCTAAACCCCTAAAACTGTCTGCATATACCATACCCTTTGCGTGTCTCTCCTAGGTGTGGTGGTGGAGCATGCCACCAACAGAGTGGTTATTGACGACTGGATTGTGCTGGATGTGCCGGCGCGTGTGGGAGTGTTGTTCAGTGAGTTGCGAAGACGCCTAGATGCGAGTCTTAAGAACAAGCTCAGAGACCCTCGGGTGGATATAGCACGCTCCGATGTGGTGCAGGCTATGACTATGGTGCTACAGGACACGGCATAGGTAATAAATAGGTTATACGAGCGAAATATGTGCGTGTGTGTTGTGGATTGTCAATTTACTATCATGACTGCAAGTGTATGGTGTGTGTATATAGTATATATATATAGTACACATGGGTTTAAGGTTTAGGTTTAGGGTTTCCATATGCTTTGTGTTGTGGATTGTCAATTTACCATCATGACTGCAAGTGTATGGTGTGTGTGTATAGTATATATATATAGTACACATGGGTTTAAGGTTTAGGTTTAGGATTTCCATATGCACGCCTGGTGTTTGTATCGTGCGAAAGTGGAACCAGGTGCGCTGTTGTGACCTGTGAATACAATACACCGAATGAGTCCCCAGCCAATGTCCACATGCCATTGATATCATATGCAAGTTAATTTACGTTGATGGTACAAGTACATGATGTTTTTTGTGTATGTTTATTTTATTTTATGATGCATGTATGTTTATCTATATGATGTTTGTATATTTTTATTTTATGATATATACATATATATATATACGTTACAACCCCTGTGTGCGCTGCACATACATGCCTACATCCCCTCTCTATCCCACGCACGAGTGGGCACATATGCGAACTCACCCACATGAGCCCTCCGTTGACGACTTACCACTTCGTGTCCTCTATGTGCCTCCTACGTCTACAAACACATGTACATATGTGTATTTGTATATGTATATTTGTATGTACGTATATATATATATATGTGTGTGTGTGTGTGTGTGTGTGTATGTGTGTGTGTGTTGTTGTGTGTGTTGTTTGTTGTGTGTGTGGCGGGTGGGTGTGTTGTGTGTACATGTATAGATATGTTATTTGTGTATTTCTTTGTT